GGAGGGAAGAGAGGCGAGAGGGCCGTTTTGGGGGGATGCGGGGAATACATGGCAGCCCATAGGGAGCTGAAAGAGACGGTTGTAGACCCTTAAATTTTATGGATGCTGTCTCTGTTTCTGAGATCTTTCATGGTTTTTATTCTCTGAAAATATTCATTTTAAATCAGAAAAAGAAAGCGGGAGCGAGCCTGCCTGTGCCCCGTCCCTGCCGCGCTGGGAGCGGTGGGAGGCATTGGAAGTGCCGTGCTCCTAAAGCTGACACGTGCTGGGCAGGTGGTTTGGGGTTGTGGGGCGCTAATACAAAGAGAAATACACCTGGATTTCTTACCTGCGGGAACCGCATGTTTTCCCCTTTGTTTTCACCAAGGCCCATCTGCTCCCTCTTTAGAATATTTCAAAAGGAGAAATGTGGAATGATGAACGCTCTGGGTGAAATTCATCCCTGTGGGGGTTAAATCCTGTGCTTCGCTTGAGGAGTCAAGTACCTAGTGCAGTGCCCATAGTAGGTGCTCAGTTAATGTTGACCACAATGTAATCCCTTCGGAGCAGAGATCATGATTTTTCCACCCTTGGACTCCCAGCAGACACTCAACAAACGTTCCCTGAGTGGGTGCTGTGCCCAGTGACAGCCATGATGGGAAAGGGGAGCAGAGGTTTGACCACACAGCTCACAAACGTACCACAAAGGCCAGGCCCGGGAGAAACTGCACTCCGGCATTCCAACCCTGAGTGGCATGCATTCGAGCAGAACACTTGAAGGTGGTGAGCTCTCTAGTAATTATTTACGAGAATAATCCACTGGGCCTACAGGGCACGGCAGGCCCTCTCATGAGCTCCCCTGCACCACCAATGGTCATGATCACCTCAACAAAAGGTATTATTATGAATTAAGGAAATTATGGCAAAGACAGGGTTTGTTAGGGCCAAGAGTGGACACCAGGCTCCCCCAGGTGGGCTCCACCTGCTTCCCTGAGACAAGTTCTCCAGACCCTGCTTCCTACCAACCCTGACCATTGACCTTCTTCCCGGGGACCCCTGCACAAAGGCCTTGCTGCCCTCCTGGCTTATCACTGCTTTTGCAACTGGAGAGCATGAATAGCTAAACCGGGGCCAACAAGATGAGCCTCTGTGGATCCCAGTGGGTCTCTTGCTGACCCTCCTGCAAAACCAGTCAGGCTGGTTGTAACGTGTTATTAGAAAGCCCACGTATCCGTGTCCCTGGAACAACACAGCCACTTGTTGTAGGGTGTGAGTTTCACATCTGTGGGACCAAGGTATGGAGGAGTGAGGGGCAGGGCAGGAGGGGGCAAGCAGGGCACCAGGGAGAGAGCGTGGGTTTCAGAGTCAGCGTGGATTTAACTGCTGCCCTACCTCTCGCAGGCTGTGTGGCCTTGAGCACATGACTTAACTTCTCTGAGGTGATAATTACCCCCTCACAGGCTCTTGTGAGGATTAAAGGAGGCTACTGTAAGGCATCTAGCCCAGGGCATAGAGACAGAAGGTGCTGGCAAAACACTAGCTCCTCAGAGGGTGGTGCTTTTGGGGACAGTAGAAAAGTCCAAATGAAAGCCCCAAC